GAATCACCAGCCTTCTGGTTAGCAGTCAATTGCCTTAGGCACTACGCTACCAGAGCTCCCTCTGAAAGGTAATAGCCTTGCGAAAACATGGAACAGTTCTGCTGTGCACACATAGGGTTACCATGAGTCAGATTAATGTGATGGCACATAATAACAACAACAACAACAAGCTCAACGTTATTCCTGACAAAATTCTAGAACAAACGATTACTCAGATGGTTTGTGAGCCTTCAAAATTGAAAATACTTATCTGAGAGTGTGATGGCTTGGTAACAACCTCATTTCCTTCTGATGTGTTTGTAAGTGATTTATGATGGGACTGTACAGAGAGAACTTCTCAGAGTATTCCGACAGTCTCTCTGTCTAGCAGTAAAAGAAAGGGTCTAGGCACAAAGCCCAAAGTGGCCTGAGACAGCTTCAAATTCCTGTGAAGTCACATGTTTTGAAAGTCTATGCGGATTTGCATTCTACTCCATCATATTTAGGAGCTCTGGTGCATTGTGCCTAAGGCAGAAGGCTGGCAGTTCAAACCCACCAGCCACTCCTCAGAAGGAAGGTTGGGCGATCTACGTCCATAGTTACACTGTCTCGGAAACCCAAGGAGGGGTCGCTAAGAGTTGGATCCAACTTGATGGCAGTGAAATTTTTAGGCCATCGTATTTCCATATTTATCTAAATATTACCTTTTAATTAAAAAATTGTTTTTTGCTATCTGAATCTTTCAATAAAATGGACACTTCAGAAGCAGAGGCTGCATTTAACTTGTAGTTTTGTTTCTCTCTGGATGATAGCTGGGGGAGGTGCATTTTCAGCTAGATTACATGTTTCAGATTCAAAATGTATTTGAGCAATGGGTCCAAATCAGTGAGATGAAATGTCGTGGTAATGAATGTGAAGTATCACATTTACATTTCAGCAATAATACCACCACCATAACTACCAATAACTGTGATAACAAGAGTTGTGTTTATTAGATACTTACTTTGTACCAGGTTCTAAGCTCATCACTCTGTATGCTTCATTTCTCTCAATTCACTCAACACCTCTATAACATAGGTAGTCAATTATTAGTAACTCCATTATACAAGGAAGTCAAAGCTTAGAGAGTAATGTCTCCAAGGTCATGTAACTGGTAAATATCTGCACTGGGATTCAGATCTAGCGAGTCTGATTACAAGCTGAACTTCTCTGTGGTAATGCTTCTCAGAAAACCTGTTGAATAGTAGGTCTGGAATCCCTGGGTAACACAAACAGTTAAAGTGTTTGGCCACTAACCAAAAGATAGGAGAGCCAAGCGCACTCAGAAGTACCTCAGAACAAAAGCCTGGCTCTCTACTTCTGAAAAAAATCAGCCATCGAGAACCCATTGAGCACAGTTCCTCTGTGAAACACATGGAGTCACAGTGAGTTGGAGTCAACTTGATAGCAACTAGTATAGTAGGTCTAGAGGACAATGGGCATGAAAGTCATGTCTTGTGTGGATACAGAACTGAGAATATTTTTGCGTGAACAAGAGAAGATAAAATGGTCAGATGTGATAGTTATGTTGCTAATTATTTCTAGTAAATTGTGGGAGAAACCATTTTCACAATGATTTGAAAAAATATGCTATAGTTTGACATGATTTACAGGTTCTCAAGCGTCCCTCCCTTTCCCCACCCTTCCTGGTTTTCCCTTGGGATCCGTCACAATCAGGGCTGGTGTTTGATTGGCTTCTCAACACTTGGGAGCATTACTCTAGGTGACAGGACACCTGGGTTCTAATCTCATCACTGCCAGAATTTTGTGTTTGACTTTGTGCAAGTTCTCTTATTCCTGTGGGCTACATATTATATACCTCTACCTAATTTATAGACTGAAATGAGATCATACATATGAAACTGTTGGAAACAATAAAGTATCAGGCATTATTGTTATGAATTATTACTATTGCCATATTATACTAGAGTTTATAATAATAGTAATAGAATAATAGTTGTGTAATAGAATATAATTATGTAATTTAGAATATAAACTATTACTAATTACTAATTATTAGTAGTATATCATCACTTGTCTGTCAGTTTGCTGTACTGTGTTGGCTTGTGTGTTGGTGTGATGCTGGAAGTTATGCTACTGGTATTTCAATACCAGTGGACAGATTTTAGCCAAGCTTCTGGAACAAGACAGATTAAGAAAAAGGACCTGGTGATCTGCTGAGAAAATTGGCCGGTGAAAACCTTATGGATAGCAGCAGAACATTGTCTGATACAGTGAAGGAAGGTGAGCCCCTCAAGTTGGAAGGCACCATAATACTTCTAGGGAAAGTCTGCCTCCCCAAAGTAGAGTCAGCCTTAATGATACAGATGGAATAAAGCTTTTGGGACTTTCATTTACCAATGTGGCATGACTCAAAATGAGAAGGTACAGCTGTAAACATCCCTTGATAATCAGATTTTGGAATGTATGAATTATGAATCTAAGAGATTGGAAGTTGTCAATATGGACTGGAATTCTTGGAGATAGGTGTCAACATCAAAAAAAGATGGAAGGAATACACAGTCACTGTATCAAAAAGAATTAGTCAACATCAACCATTTCATGAGGTAGCATATATTCAAGAGTCACTGATACTGCCATAAGAAGTACAAGCTGTATTGAAGGCATTGGTGAAAAACAGGATTCCAGGAGTTGACAGAATATCAACTGAGATGTTTCAACAAATGAGTGTAACTCTGGAAACACTCACTCATCTAGGCCAAGAAATTTGGAAGATAGTTACATGGCCAACTTATAGGAAGAGATGTATATATGTGCATTTTCTGAAGAAAGGTGATCCAAGTAAATGTGGAAATTATTGAACAATATCATTAATATCACATGCAAATGAAACTAAGCTGAAGATAATTAAAAAAGAAAAAAGATTGTAGCAGCACATCAACGGGCAATTGCCAGAAATACAGTGAATAAGAATAGGATATGGAAAGAGGTATCTCATTGCTGATGCTAGGTGGCACCTTGGGTGAAAGCAGAGAATACCAGAAGATGTTTACCTGTGTCTAACTGACTATGCAAAGGCAATTGACTGTGTGGATCATAACAAATTACAGATAACATTGGGAAGAATGAGCATTCCAGAACACTTAATTGTGCTCATGGGTAATCTACCTAGACTGAGAAGGAGTTGTTTGAGCAGAACAAGGGGATAATACATGGTTTAAAATCAGAAAAGGTTTGCATGAGGTTTGCATCCTTTCACCATACTTACTCATTCTGTATGCTGAGTGAATAACCAAGAAGCTGGACTATATGAAGAAGAACACAGAATCAGGATTGATTCATTAACAACCTGTGATATGCATATATGCATATATAACATAACCTTGCTTGCTGAAAGTGAAGAGGACTTGAAGCACTTACTGATGAAGGTTAAAGACCACAGCCTTCAGTATGGATTACACCTCAACATTAAGAAACAAAGCTCACAACTGAATCAATAAGCAACATCATGATAAAGGAATAAAAGATTGAAATTGTCAAGGATTTAATTTTACTTGGATTCACAGTCAACACCCATAGAAGAATCAGTCGAGAAATCAAATGACATACTGCACTGAGCAAATCTGCAAAAGAGTTCTTTAAAGTGTTTAAAAGCAAAAATGTCACTTTGAGGTCTAAGGTACACGTGACCCTAGCCATGGTATTTTCAATCCCTCATATGCATGGGAAAGCTATACAGTGAATAAAAAAGACCAAAAGTGAATTAATGCCTTTGAATTACAGTTTTGGCCAAGAATATTAAATATACCATGGACAGCCAGAAGAATGAACAAATTTGTTATGGAAGAAGTACAACCAGAATGGTCCTTAGAAAGAAAACTGGAGGGACTTTTTCTGTCATAATTTGGGCACATTATCAGGAGGGAGCAGTCCCTGGAGAAGGACATCATGCTTGGTAAAGTAGAGGGTCACTGAAAAAGGGGAAGACCCTCAATGAGATGGGGTGACACAGTGGCTGTAACAGCGGTCTCAGACATAGCAGTGATTGTGAGGATGGTGCAGGGCTGGTCAGTGTTTCATTCTATGGTTCATACGGTCGCTATGTGACTTGATGGCAACTAACAATAACTATTATTACTAATAATCTGTGAGTGAGTTGTAATAATGCCTTAAGCCAGGATTAGTCTTGAATAAATATCACACCTGTTAGGGACAATATTCATTAACATTCATGCTCTTGCCTCCTCTAGACCACATATTTGTAGACTTTCTGTAATACTCCACTGCTGTTTTTCATTTTAAATCCAGTCTGGCTTCTCCCCTTCAAGCCAGAGGACTTTTAAAGTGAGTGGCTGGTAGTATAACTGGCACATATATCGAATCTCCTTAGTCTGGGCTGTTAAGTAAGTTTAATTAATTTACTAAGTTAATGTTCCACTGCTAGCAACAGAGCCTCATTGCCATCAGCTGGGGAGAGGGAATTGAAAGCCTAAATGAGCTCATTTTTTCACAGTTGGAATTAGGGACCAGTTAGCCAGTTGTGTGGGTTTTCCAATTTCTCCATCTGCCCTAGGGGGATTTAGGCAATTCGCTCCCCCAACACAAAGTGTGAGTAAGAGCAGGAAGAGGGAACGGGAATAGAAAGAAAGAAATAATAATAACAATAACAAAAAATTTCTCCTCAACATTTGCTTCCCGTTTTGGAACTGGAAACATCATCTGGGCTTTTGCTTCAAGTTGGCCTTGGAGAAGCTTTTCTAATATTCCTAATAGATTTGGAAAAGAGAAAGGCCTCAGTGAAAGATATTTACCACATGCATTTTCGTTGCAGGGTGTGAAGAAAAAGGGACAACAAATAAACAATAAAAGAATGGAAACAAAATTACAGAAATTTGCAAAATTTGACAAATGGTGGCCTGTAGTTGCCACAAGCTAATGGCTTGCAATGATTAATAAGAGTAAAAATAATTGCATTTCATTAAGATTGATGACACCCCATTTAACCTCCCCTCTCGTTTCAGCCCTAAAGTAGAAAGAGATGAAGTTCTCATCTATAATAGTTCCTGTAACATTACCATGGAAACTGAGGCAGAGATGGAGTGTGAGACGCCTAATCAGCCAATTACCGCCAAGATTACTGAGATATGGAAAAGCTGGGGCCAGAACACTCAGGTATAATCAAATCTTTTTTACAGACTGATTCAAACAGCTCAAATTAAATTTGTAATATTGTGTACATTAAAAAAACAATTTAGTCCAAATGGCAGCAATATATAATATTAAATGCTCTCAAACTTTGAGGAGATGGTCTAATGCACAACATCTAAATTCATAGTTAACTATGGTTAATCATATATTTTCTCAAAAATAAATGAGCATTGCCTGGTCTCTTTTAAAGCAGATTCTGAACAAATAATCTCAGCATTTTGTCCTGTTTTCTGCATCATGTTTGAAAGGGGATTTCTTGGTTTGTTTCTTCATGAAATAAATGGCCTACAATTTAACCAGATCCTTTGCAATTGGAAGACTTCCAGATCACTTGGCTATCTTCGGCATGGTGGGACGGCTGTGTCTGCTGATCTGTCCAGTTCATTTCTGTTCTGTGGGGAGGCAGAGTTGTAATACTGCAAGTTTTGAGGGAACTATATGGAAATTAAGACTGAAAATGACTATAGGGTCATTTGGTTCAGCCCCTCAATTTTTCAGTTTTCAAATTGTCTACACCATTTCCTCCAAGTGTAAGAATGTGTTCTCAAAACTCCCCAATGAGAGATTCCACAGCCTCCTTAGGGAAATTGCCCGAATTGGAATCAGAGGCTGAAGGCTCTTTGGAATGTAGCCGATAATCTTTTACAACTCCTCGGGCTTCTTACTGTACACAGATAAAAAATAATATTTATTGAGCACCTACTCTCTTGGGTGTATTTCTCTTTATGAAAGCAATTTCCAGATTTTCCTCTCTTTGTCTGTTTCATTTGGAACAAATATTTATTGAGTGCCTATTATGTGCGTCAGGAGCTTTGGTAGCACAGTGCTTAAGGCACTTGACTGCTAACCAGAAGCCTGGCGGTTCAAACCCACCAGCCACTCCTCGGAAGGAAGATGGGGCAATCTACTTCCATAGTGATACTGCTTTGGAAACTCAAGGAGGGGTAGCTATGAGTCGGGTCTGACTGGATGGCACATAACAATAACAACAACAACATTATGTGCCCCACACCACACCAGATCCTGTTACGAAAGCTGCTTCAGTTAAACCTTCCCAATCCAAAACTATACCTGCTGGATTCATAATGTATGCGTTTCTACAACTTCTTGACTGGTGCTGAAAGATGTATGCAATTACAAAGCATGATTTTCCTTTTCTCCCTAAACTGTTGCCTGTCTACCTTCCCTACCCTCCAGGGGTCTTACTGTTCATTCTTTCATCTGTCCAAGTTCATCACCCTCCTTTACCTGCCCTTCCTGTGGCTGCCCACAACAGTCACTTCTTGCTTCATTGTTTTCCCAGAATAGGCCTCTTCCTTTTGATTCACTGCCAATTTTAACTCTTCATCCCTAATACCACCCTCAGGAGCTCTGGTAGCATAGTGGCTGAGGCACTTGACTGCTAACCAGAAGGCTGGCGGTTCAAACCCACCAGCCACTCCTCGGAAAGAAGGTTGGGCATTCCTACTTCCGTAGTGATACTACCTCGGAAACCCAAGGAGGGGTCGCTATGAGTCGGGGCTGACTCGATGGCAAACAACAACAACAACAACAAACCACCCTCGTTTAGGTTATAGCCTACACCTCCCTTCTGTGCCCCTTTCTCAGCAGCCAGCTGTCAGTGATGTGCCAGTGGTTTATTGTAATGAGATGGGACTGTTGAATCAGTGTTATATTGTGGAAAGTGATGTGTGGTCAGATGACCTACACTCTTAGCTCTGTGACAATGAGCAGTCTTTAAACCTCTCTGGGCCTCAATGTCTGCCTTGGTAATAACATGACATTGCAAATGCTCATGGAAAAGAAGGAGGGGCAGGTAAGAACAATGGTTAAGTGTGTGGGCTTTGGAGCTAGACTATCTGGGTTTGAATACATTGCTTGTTCCCTGAAGGAACTATGCAAGTTATTTAACTTCTTTGTGTTTTAGTTCTTTCATCTGTAAAGTGGGAATAATAATGTTGTTGTTGTTATATGCTGTCGAGTTGGACCTGACTCATAGCGACCCCTCCTTTGCAGTAAGTATCACTACGAAAGTAGATTGCCCAACCTTCCTTTCGAGGAGTGGCTGGTGGGTTTGAAGCACCAGCCTTCTGGTTAGCAGTTAAATGCCTTAGGCACTATGCTACCAGAGCTCCTTGGGAATAATAATAATAATAACAACAATAATAATAAATCCATTGTTATTGAGTGATCCTATAGGATAGAGGAGAACTGTCCCAAAGGCTGTAATCGGAAGCAGATTGCCACAACTTTTTTCTGCAGAGCGGCTGGTGGGGGGATAACAATAGAACCACTTAGTTCATAATTGGAGTCCCTGGATGGTGTAATGGTTAATACACGAGGGCGCTACAAAAGGTTCGAGGTTCAGTCCACCCAGAGGTGCCTCTTAAAAAGGTGGTGATCTGCTTCTGAAAAATCACCCATTGAAACCCCAAGAAGCACAGTTCTACTCTTACATACATAGGGTTGCCATGAGTTGAATCGACTTGACGGCAACTGTTTTTTTTTTGTTTTTTTAAATAGAGTTGTGAGGATTGCAGTATGTAAACTACTGGGACCTATACTTCATACCTTGTATATTCCTAATCTTAGCCATTATTGGTCATAATAGTAATAATTATCTAGTAGTGCTGTTGGTAGTAACAGTTAGCTCATAGCTAGTAGTCATGCCAGAAAATAATAAGAAATTATCTTTCTGTAGTACTTGCTGCTTTGCTAATTTAACAACTTAGAGTCTGGTTATCTTTTTTTTTTTTTTATCATCCCACAGTCTATTTTGAATTTTTTTTCCCTTTGGAAGCTTAAATGCTTCACTCATTTTAAAACATTCATGCTCTCATTAATCCTTCTGCCATGCTCTGAGGGAGATAAAAAGTAATGTGGAAAGAGAACCCACATTTAAGAAATGGTAGGAAAGAGAGGACATGGGGATAATAAGTAAGGTTCAAGGACATATACATAGAGTTAATTCATCAGCTTTGGATGGAACATTGGATACCACACAGACCAGCCCTGTTATTCAAGAGGTGATTTAACTGAGGCCCATCAAGGGAGGTGACTTGATAAATGTCACACAGTTAGTTGTTTGGAATTATAACCAACGCAGCCATACACCGTTGAGGGAAAGTAAACCATTTAATGTTTAGGAACCAGAGGGGTGTGTCTGCCAAAATATCATGGGCTAGTGCCAGTATCTAAGAAACTCCAGTCACGGGGTGAGCAAGGGTAGACTCTCTAGATATTGGTTCTAGGTGTAATAAGCATTATACTCAGGTATGGGTAATGATGTCATAGGTTTAAACAGTCTTTTGGGAGCAGGGCCTGTATCAAGTAGCCAGCAATACAAAAGGATAGTGGCAAGACTTCAAGGAATTCCTTTACTTTGGATCTATTCAGCCAGATGTTTTACCCAGCCACTTTTGTCATGATAAGTTGGAGGAGTTTCTCTTTCTCTGAGCATCTAATCTGCCATATCAGGGGAAAAGTAAGTCTGAGATAATGTTACTAAAGTTCTCTGAAAAATTATTTTCAATCTAGAACCCTTGTTGTTATTAGTTGACATCAGGTTGGTTCTGACTTATGGTGATCCCATGTGTTACAAGGTGGAACTGCTCCATAAGATTTTCTTGGCTGTGGTTTTAACAGAAACAGATTTCCAGGCCCTTTATTCCGTGATGCTGCTGCGTGGGTTCCCAGTCAAGTGATGTTTGGAGTAAGAACAAAATAAAGGTGTAGGCTATACAAAATTCAGAGTTTATTATCTTTGTGCACTCTCCAAATAATGATGTACTCTGGCTGCAAACTATAAAATGAACCCAAGAAAGAAGATGATATGGGGTATAAGAAATAGTGGTGAACAAATAACCTGTAAATAATGGAAAAAAGAGTAAAGATGGCTAGTAATATGGCTGTGAAGCTTAATATATTAAGGAAGGACTCAACAAAGCAGAGAGGCAGGATCCTCTTGTTTCTAGTGGGTATAATGAAAGAAGAACAAGAACCAGAAGCATAAGTCCCCTCTTTGACAAAATGAGGAGACATTTGTCACACAGACAACATTATATGAAGAGAAGAAGCAAAAGGAAGAATGGCAAATGACTTAACAGGGCAGAGGAAAGTCAAAATTAAGTGCTGGCCAAGGAAAATTTTGATAAAAAGCAAGACAGTTTGCCCCACTGAAGTGGAGAAAAGCTCTAGAATTTTGAGAAATTATGTATCAGAAAATGGGCATGAGGCAGGATGCTGAAGCAAAGGAGTTATTTGAAATCCTCTCTAAGGAGTAGTTTGATCCCCCGGACGTTATGCCTACCTGGCTCAGTCACACATCTCTTCTTATTCTATCCTCTATGAAGTAGAGATGTGGCTTCTAGACAGATTGAATCACTGAGGTATTAATTAAGTGCTTGATACCAAACACAGGGTTGAAGAATGCAACTGAAATCTGGAGAATGAATGGAAGGTCTGCTTATGCTTTTGAGAGAGGTTACTCCTCACCCCCCATGATTTCTTTCCCCACCCATCTGCAGAATCCAAATTCTGATCCTCCCAGAAAGAAGACTGGGAAGCACTTCTCTATGGGGATTAAATCTGAGTAAAGACCCAGAGATACTGGCATTTAGGAACCTCATGAAGTTTCATGTACACAGATTGTCTACTTAGCTTTTTAGCACATTGAACTTAAAAATGAATGGACAAACTTCTGGTTATGGTCCTGAGAGAGTTCCAGATGTACTGTACTGCCATACACAATTGTAAAATAGGTCAAAATGTATTTCACACACTGGATGATAGCACAGGGCTATGAACCATGAGAGGAGAGAAACAAACAAGGTGAACTCTACAGTCACCCTGGCTTTCTATCTGGGGGGCACGATCTAAAACACAGCACAGGGATGAGGAACCCAGAGAGCAAAGAGCAGTCTCACCAGGAGAAATAGCCAGAGGTTAGAGTTCAGATGCTGATA